AAACTCCGAAATTAGATTTCGTTTGTGTGAGATCAGATTAGATTAAAAGTAAATTTTTATTTCTCTTAATGTTGTTTGATTCAATTGTTTAGGGTACAATGCATTTAAGACTGCCATTGTGTTATTTTATTAAAAAAAGAATATAAGTCTATTTTTTTTAAATAGTGGAAATTTTCTTATTCACCACTTAAATAAAATACTCCAACTCTTATTTTATATGTAGACATCCCCTCGTTTCATTTTATCTACTCTTCTTTTTATGAACAAAGATCAATTGAGACAACTATTTTTTATCATCCCTATTATAAATATGACGACAAGAGAAACAATTTTAAAGATGATTTGATTATTAAAATGTAATAAATAGGATTTTTTTAGTATTTTGAATTAATTACTTATAAGCGATATACACAACATAAGGTTCAGAAAAATTCATATATATGTTCAAATCATCTTTAAGAGTTTAGAATGCACGTTTTGGTATAAACAATCGAATTTCTATCTTTTCTTCAATCTTAGCTGCTTCATTTATTTAGAGTTATAATGCAATTAAGACTGTCATTGTCGTAACAGTCCTTCGGGTGGGCTCGGAATCGGGTTTCGACTTAATTTTGATGTGTTAGAGCCGCCACCAGTCATTTAAAATAAGGTTGACTGGATACCTTAACTTACCATTTGTCTGATATTCGTTTTACCAGAAATTAATCAAATTCAGGAGTAGATTACAGTCAATGAAGGATTAATACTCTTGTACTGCCCTTTCGGTACCAATTTGATTTCTCGGTTGTCTTAATTGCGAAAATTAAAAGTTAAAATTAAATTTAAAAGTTCGATCCAAATTACTTAACTTTGACGAATTTTAGAATTGACCTAAAAATAAATCAGATTAATGTTAAACTGTAAAATGAAATAAAATGAATAAATAAATATTAAATAAATAAAAGAAGAAAAAGTTTAAAAAATAAAAAGGACTAAATTGAAAAGAATTTTAAAAATCAAGGGTCAATTTGATGTTAATTAAAAGCTTTGTTCGACGGCGACGGATGGCTTTTGGAACCAAAACCGATGCTCTACCTTTATGCCTTTTGTTTTTTTTTTGGTGACATTTGCTCAATATCTTTGGGTATTTCGATTCTGTGTGGTGTGTTGCTTTGGTATTTTTGCTGCGTATTTGTAGTGGTTTTTTGTTGTTCCGATGGTACCGCTTCGTTTTTTTGTTGTTGTAGTTGATGTTCTCTTCGATTTTTCTTTATCCTTTGATTCGATGATTCTCGGGTTTTATATAACCCTGCCGGTGGTGGTTGTTGCCGAGTTTTTCAAGATGGTGCAGTCCTGTTCGACATGACTTTGTTTGTTCCATAACGTGCTCTGATTTTTTTCGTGATTTTCTCAATTCCTGGTGTCGGAAATCTCGGCCGATGGGTGACTTGGCTGGCGTGTGGCCTTCACACTCCATTGGAATGTTAATCTGATGCATCTTGGCCTTTGGATCAAAGAGCTAGATCCAACAGATCTGGTTGATGATGTGCCCCTGATAATCACAAAAACCTAGCTTGCTGGCTTTAGGCTTCGAACTGTTGGGCTCGTCGGGTTAGCATGTTGGGTCAGGCCTGCTTACCTAGTTGGGCTCCCTTTATTGGACTTGAACTTTTGGATTTTTTATTGGACCTAAAAACAATTAAATAAATAAATGAAAATAATATAATAATAATAATAATATAATATATTAATAATATAATACTAATATATACAATATATAAAATATAATAATACTAAATATATATACTATAATATATAATATATAACTAAATATATATATATATATATATTATAATATATAATATAACTATAATGTATTTAATAATAAATATATACTGTAATATATAATATTATAATATATATATATATATATAAATAATATAATACTATAATATATAATACTATATAATATATATAATAATAGATATATACTATACTATAATATATAATACTATAATATATAAGACTATATATTATATATCATATACTATATAAATACTATAATATACAATATAAAATAATATATAGAATATAGTGTATATTTTATAAAAGAACCCGAACGAAAATGAGTGTCTACAGTCATGAATGTTGTTATTTTATTAAAAATATTATTCCTATTATTTGTTTAAATGAACTATTTTGTTTATTAAAAACTTAAGTGAAAAATTTGCCATGGTGAATTTTCTATATGATGAAAAGGCCTTTTTGATCAAATTGAAAAAAAATATAATATTAATTATAATGTAAGATGTGAAAGATTATATTGGTTATTTGTAAAAGGATTATTATATATATTAAAAACGTGTTCTAATTTTGTTTGTGGTACAAGAGCTTCTTTCCCCATAAACTAGTTCAAAAATAGACAAGCAACACATTGAGCAACATGTGCCAATATAAACAATAGGAATGATTAATCCTTCACAATTTATTTAAGTTTTCTTACACAAATCAATCAAATCTATGTTAGATTTAGGCACAAATTCTATTGAGAAGTAAATCACCGCTCTTTCTAAATCTTATTATTATTTATATAGATTTCTCTCAACAAATCATAAATAAACACGTGTCGAAATTTATTTTGTCCACGGTGTACTGAATGACGTTTTTTTTCACCTAACTCTTTTTAATGATTTTTAGATTCCCTATTAAAGCAATAGAGTAAGTTGATATTGTTTTTAGGTCCATTTAGAGAAAAAATTTAAATTAATTTGACAGATCATATTTCAACGGTTAAATTTGTGAAAAGAGATAATTATTGTCTTCATGATAAATCAAGTTCACCGGCTCAATTCTTAAGATAGAATAGTGCACATAACCCCTAGATCTAAAGAGGCATCGAAAACTCCAAACTCAGATTTCGCATATCCAAAATAAGATTGAAGGTAAGTTCTCATTTTTCTTCAATCTTCTTTGCTTCAATTATTTAGAGATGTAATATAATTAAGATTTTCATGAATGGTGTTGTGTTATTAAAAATATTGATTCTATTATTTTCTAAAATCATTTTTTATTTTTAAAAATTTTGTAGGAATTCACTACTAAAATAAATGCTTCAACTTCTTATTTTATATCTGGATTTCCCCCTGTTCGATTTATTAACTGTTTTTCTTATTTGCAAAGAGTAACTGAGATAACTATTTGATCATCCATTATTATAAATATGCCGGCATGAGAAACAATTTTAATGATGATTTATTTTTCAAAATATAATTTATAGTGATTAAAATATAAAATTTATATATATATATATATATATATATTCAAATATTTTTCCCATCATGTAAGAATTTGTGGTGCATGTTTTGATTTATGTATATGCCAATATAAACAATGGGAATGATCAGTGATGGATCGAAGGGGCTGGTGGAGATAGTAGTCCCTTTGAAAATTTAAAATTATTTTAGATTTTAGATTTTTTATGTACTTTTAATTTAAAATCTATTCTCGTCCCCTAAATTTTAAAAATTCAAATTTACCTCCTAAATTTTAAAAATTAATTTACCTTTAATATAAAATCTTGCATCGTCCCTGGAAGTGATCAATCTTCACAACTCGATTAACTTTTCTTTTTGGGCACAAATCATTCAAATATATTTTAATTTTTTATATAAATTTTATATGGAAAGTAAAATCAGCTGTTTTTTTATAATCTTAATGTTACTTTTTATAAGATACCAATTAACAAATTGTAAATAAACACGTATCAAATTTTTATTTATCTATAGTGTCAAATGGCAGCATTCTTCTACCTAACTCTTTTTTAATTTTATACTAAAATAATAGAGTAAAATTATATTATATTATATTTGAGTCAATTTAGAAAAAAAAATGTTTAAATCAATGCACATTAATTTGACAGATCATATTTTAATGTTTTTGATTAAAAAAAATCATATTTTCATTTTTAAATATGTTAAAAGAGATAAAAATTGTTTTTTTTATTATAAATTTAATTCATCGTCTAGATTTTACAGATGAATGTAAAGAGTGATTAAACTTTTCGAAGCATCGGGAACTCCTGAATCAGATTCTGTTTATCTAAGATCAGACTCAAAGTAAGTTCACATCTTTTCTTCAATTATTTGCTTCAATTATTTAGAGTTATTGTGTATTAAGAATGTCATGAATGTTGTTATTTTTTTTAAAGAAAAAGCATCATTTTTATTATTTTTAAATGATTTTATTTGTTACTTTTTAACTACAATCATTTTATTTTCCCCCTATTTTAATTTCCTAACATATTGACAATAAATTGCAAACTTTTTAGGGAGATACTCTTACAAATATATATTTTTTGGGTTTTATTTTTAACAAGTACAACTTTATTTTGTAATATAAGATTTTTCATCTGATTTCTATTAGATATTTTCCTTTTCATTATCAAATTGTATAATCACGGTTTTCCCCCAATTTTTAGAGTCTTAGTTCATTAATTATTATACACCCATCCATATCCAATATCTCATTTGCTAAATCCATTTTTTCTCCAAAATTTGGTATTTAAAAGATAATATATTAGTAGTAAAAAAGAAGTAAATTTATGATGGACTCAATGTAATCTCTTTTAAGTAATAAGTGACTCCAATCTACTTTTCTTTTACAATATTTTTTAAATAAAAATTCAATTAAATTGTTTCTCTAATATTTGTTATAAAAGAATAAAAGAATTATTAATTTTCATATAATTTATATATTTCCATTATATTTTATGTTGATAATCTATTTTTGTCCCATAAAATTTTATAAATTCAGTCTTATGGCATAAAATCTTGTGTTTGTTCTTGTATAAACATTTATTTATAGTTATTGAAATAATATATTTGGATCAACTTGATGCAACTAAGAAACTCTAAATTCTTGTGAATAATCTTATTGCCAAACTAATTCCCTTTTCTTTCTCTCATCTTTTACACGTTTTAGCTTCGTTGCATGCTTGTTGACATGTATTGGGTGAGTGAATTTCGGTTTCTTTTTCTACATAGAACCAGCAATTCGATCTTGGGAATTACATGTCTTCCTTTAAGGTTTAATTTTAGTACACATTTAAATAAATAGAAGGAAACCCTTTTGGTTGCTTTCTATACATTAAAAACATCAAAGATCCATACTTGGGTTTCTTCAAATTCTTGTCAGCCGACAAAATCTTCAGGTTTTTTTTGGCTGTTTTTTTAATAAAAATCATTGTCGTTAGGGTTTTTTCTTTTTGTGTTTTTTTTCGAGGTTATTGTCAAATATGTTCACCGAGGAAGAGTTGAAAGACATGGAAGGATTGAAAAGAGAGTCGGATTTCATTGAGGTCAAGTGTGGGTGCACCAGCAAGAAATATGGTGATACCATTGGCAAGCTTAGGGTTTTCACCAATGGCCAATTTCTGATATCTTGTGAATGCAATCCAGTTTGTGATGAAGGTAATCCATCATTTCTTACAATTCTAAGGTGTTTTCGTCGTTAGAAAATAATACTGTTGCAAAATAAAAACGTTAGCATTAACTAGAAGGTAATAATATATAGAGGAATATAACGAAATATAGGCGTTTTCGTATAGGTATCTGTATAAATCTCAAATAAAGGTGTTAGGGTACTTCATAGAATGTAGAATGGATCATTCATTTGTTCAACTTAATTTTGTTTATGAATTTGATGAACTTCAATTTCACCTCATATACATGAAACCAATCATTGATTTGAACAATGCCATTAAGTCAAATTTCTTCTTTTGTTTTAACTGTAAGCATTTAAGAGGTTACTATTAACATTATGTTATTGTTTGCCCCAAGTTCATCCATTTTTGAAGCTGATTTTGCATTAATTCAATTTGGTTCTGAGGTTTACTTCTTTGGTTGACATGTTTTTATGGTGAATTATTGAAAACCAGAGAAATTGACGCCTTATGATTTCGAGAAACATTCTGGGAAGGAAGGAACCAGGAAATGGAAGAATCACATTTGGGTGATGATGCACGGTAAGAAGGTTCCTTTATGGAGGACTGTTCTTCTGAAGTACTACAAGCATGCATCGAACGGAGACAATGAGCTAACGAGCTTGCGAGCTAAGCGTCTTTTCCATCGCGATGAGTTCATACGTTGCACCAAGTGCAAGAAAGAACGCAGGTTCCGACTCCGGACGGACGACGAATGCCGTACGTACCATGATGCTTTGAATGCAAAAAAGTGGAGGTGTGCTAACTGGCCATATGAGAAGTAAGTTCTCGACATCACGTAATCGATTTTCGAACGATCAAGTTCATAACATGTAGCTTAGCGTTTGTTGGTTTAACTTTTTTTTTCTTTTCCAGAATCACCTGCAAAGCTGATGAAGAACGAGCAAGCAGGAAGAGTTGCAGGGGCTGCCCTCGATCACCTACTTGCAAAGGTTGCACTACCTGTGTCTGTTTCGGCTGCCACAAGTGCCGATTTATCGATTGCAAGTGTCGCACTTGCGTCGACTTCGTCCAAAATGCAGAGCCTTGACGCTATAGCAAAGGCACTGAGCATCATGGATCCTTTCTATGCTTCAATGTTCTATCATTTTCCCAACTGGAAACTGTTCCAATGTTTGTAGGATTGGGAAGACTTTGCTGTTTTTCGTTTTCTTTAGAATAATTGTTAGCTGAAAACTGGGGACTAACTAAGAATGGTACCTTCAATCCGCCATGAGTTTACAAACTTCCTAATGATGAACTGGTTTCCTTTACTTCAGCTTGTTTCTTCGTATGGCTATATGTTTTATTTTAGATCTTTTTGTTTAGGTGTCATATGAGATCAGAGATTTAAATGCATCCTTTTTATTGTGATTGCAAACACACGAAGAAGGATGTATATTTACATCAATTAAAATTAATTGATAAATAACGTGATAATTAATAAAATTGACATAATAATAAATTTAGCTCACAACTCTCACATTTCATTTTAATATGATATCAATTTTTAAAATTAATTCTCAAATTTTTTTAGTTTAATCATGGTATTTAATTTATTGATCAACTAATCTGAATCGGATTTTGCATAAACCCATTATCGAAACGACTATCCCAACGCAGTTTGTTTCATTCGTAAACAATAATATTCGAAGCCAGGAGACTGCAGCACCAGCTCTAGCAACTTCTGTTCATATACTATGCTTCACGATATACTATCTCTTGATGCTCAGAATATGTTGAGAAACTAATTGCATGTAATTGCAGTTCTCCAGTAATGACTAAACAAATCTATCACACATGCTTTTTCAATTGAAAGGTGCATTATCCTCAGCTAGCCTAGCATTCTTCTTTAAAGGCAACATTGTTGATTCTGTAACTTGTTTAATTCACTAATGCATTTAAAATAATAATGTATATCATCTGTGTTCAATAGAAAGGAAATTTTCTTGGGCTAGCATTAATCGGACATCCCTTTTAACTCTCGTTTAACCAAAATCTCATGTGCTGCCATTGAAAATTAGGAATGTAAAAAGCTGACCAGAAACCGAATCGAGTCAAAATTATTTGTGACCTGAGTAGTGGTGATCCGAAACCGAATTGAGTCGGAACTGGTGTTGATCTGAACCTGAGTGGACCTAGAAATTATGGATCTGAACCCGACCTGCACCCGATCTGAGAACAACTTGAACCCGAATTAAACCGAAAATATGATAACCAAACCCGACTTGCATCTGACTAATATGAACACAAACTCGAGATTAACTTGGTAAATAACTTGCGTTACGCTACCTGTTTTCAATATGACATGTTATGAACATGACCTATAATTGAATCAACCTGTAAATGATCTGATTGTTATTGAACTGATATGATATTTACCTGACTTAATATTTTTTATCAAAATCTCCATTGATGAAGTTATATCTTCATCAAAATCTTATGATTTCATCAATGGTAATTTTTATGAAGTTATATGATTTTGATGAAATGATAACATTAAAATCTCCATTGATGAAATTATAAGATTTTGATGTTGTTGTGAGATTTTGAGTTTATAATAAATCATGTTAATTAATATGATTAATTTTTAAATGTTATAATAAAATATTAATTGTTGAAGAATCGGGTAAAGAAAAAATGAAAGAACACAAGAATTTTAACGAGGTTCAACAATGTGCTTGCGTCCTCGGTGCCTAGGCCGCGCTAGAAGTTTTATTCAATGTCTCATAAGTTTAGGTTACATCTCTATTTATAATAAATAAACCATGTCACATAATTACAAAATTAACCCTGTACCAGTATATTTATGAGCCATACCTTACATTAATAATGATATTTAAATTAATAAAATATTTACTTTGTAACATCCATAATCTGTATATAACTCGAAATACGAGTTAAAATCGCTCACTCTGCTCCATCCCCTGTCCTCTTTACCGGTATATTTATGAGTCATACCTTACAAATCTCCACCTTGGCGAATATCCTATCCCTTAGGAAACATTCAATGTGGGTTGGGTTACCTTACTTCTTTAACAACTCGAAACATTCAACAAGTCCCAACAATGCTTGAACTTGTCTATCGTAACTAGCTTGGTGAACATATCAACGACATTCTCATCAGTATGTACCTTCTAAAACAAAATATCTTCCAATGCAACCAACTCTCTGATCTTGTGAAAACGTACATAAATATGCTTAGTTCTAGCACGATATACCTAATTCTTACCTAAGTGAATAGTACTTTGATTGTCGCAAAGCAACTGAACTCCACCTTGCTGAACACCCAACTCCTTCACTAAACCAGTAAGCCATAAAGCTTATTTTGTAGCTTCAACCACTGCAATGTATTCAGCTTCAGTTGTAGATAGTGCCACAACAGATTGAACAGTAGACTTCCAACAAATAGGCCCTTCACGAAGAGTAAAGACATACCCTGTCGTAGATCTTCTATTATACAAGTCACCTGCATAGTCTGAATCCACATATCCTACAACCAAAGGATTATCCTGCTGACTACCAAAAATAATTCCATGTCCTACAGTACCCTTTAAGTACCGAAAAATCCACTTGACTGCTTCCCAATGTTACTTACTGGTTTAGACATGTACTTACAAACTTGACTAACAACATGAGCTAAATCAGGACGAGTACATACCATTGCATACATCAAGCAGCCAACAACATTAGAATACAGAACCTTTGCCATATCTTCAGCTTCCTTATTTGTCATAGGGCACTGTTTTGATGAGAGCTTAAAGTGATTCGCCAATGGAGTGCTAACTGGTTTTGCGCTACTCATCGCAAACCTTTTTAGCATTTTCTCAACATAACCCCGTTGAGATAACCACAGTTTCCTTGAGTCTCTGTCCCTACAAATTTCTATTCCAAGAATTTTCTTTGCATCACCTAAATCTTTCATATTAAATTCCTGACTCAATAAAGTTTTCAAACTGATAACATCATCCATGTTATTCGCATCAATTAACATATCATCAACATACAATAACAGAAAATAAAGAACCATCATCAAGGCTCTTAACATAGACACAACAATCATATTCACATCGTTTATAGCCAATCTTGATCATATAGGAGTCAAACCGTTTGTACCATGTCTTGGACACTGCTTGAACCCGTACAAAGATTTCTTCAATCTGCAAACTAAATGCTCGTTTCCAAGTTGAGTGAAACCTTCAGGCTGCCGCATGTAGATCTGCTCCTCTAAATCACCATGCAAAAAAGCAGTTTTAACATCTATCTGCTCTAAATGCAAATCCCAACTAGCCACCAATACAAGTACTGTTCGGATTGAAGTGTTCCTGACCACAGGAGAGAAAATTTCATCATAATCAACTCATTTCTGCTGTGAAAAACCCTTTGCTACCAAACAGCCTTGAATTTCTCCCTCTCTTTTTCTGTTACTACTAGTTTCTTCTTATACACCCATTTGCAACCAATCAACTTCATACCCTCAGGAAGACGAACTAACTCCCATGTACGATTGTGATTCAAAGACTCCATCTCCTCAACCATGGCAGCCATCCACTTATCGTTTTCCTGACTAGTAACTGCATCATGAAAAGTAACCGGATTATCACTGTAATAGTAAGTGCAAAAGAGACCAAGTCTTCAAAATCCAATCTGTTTGGAGGCTTTATATTCGTCCGTCTCACCCTGTCTCTGGCGAGACTATAATCCTTTAAATCATCCGTGGCGGAACCACCAGAAGTCAGTTTAGAAGTTTATGTTTTCTCAACTGGAAACTGCTCGAAATCCACCACTGTCGTGTCTTTCTACTGCTGCAACATGGGTTGTTCATCAAAAACAACATCTCTATTGATCATAATTTTCTTCGCAACTGGATCCCAGAACTTGAATCCTTTGACACCTTTCTTGTAACCCATAAAAATGCACTCCTTCGATTTTGCATCAAGTTTGGATCTCTCATCAGCAGGTACATGCACATAAGCAGGACAACCAAAAATCCGTAAGTGATCAAAAGTAATATCATGACCAGTTCATACCTCTTTTGCAACTTTCCCAGCCAATGATGCCCTTGGCGATCTATTGATAAGATAACACACCATGTTAACAGCCTCAACCCAGAAGTGTTTGGGAAGCCCCGCATTCAACCACAAACATCTGGCTCTATCATTCAATGACCTGTTAATCTTTTCCACAACACCATTCTGTTGTGGTTTCTGGCACATTGCAAAATGCCTCTTAATCCCATGCTTCTTACAGAAGTGTAGAAACTGTGAATCTGTGTACTACTTACCATTGTCAGACCGTAAACATTTGATTTTTCATCATGTTTGGTTTTCTACCTCAGTTTTCCACAGCTTAAATTTCTCAAAAACATCAGACTTTTGTTTCAAAAAATACACCCAAACTTTCCGTGAAAAATCATCAATAAAGGTAACATAATACCTAGATCCACCCAAAGACGATGTCATGGAAGACCCACATACATCAAATACACATAATCAAAAATCCCTTCAGTTGTGTGCTTCACAGTCTTGAAATGAACTTTAGTATGTTTACCAAGAACACAATACTCAAAAGTCGATCTTACAACTTTTAACACCATGCAACAGATTTCGTTTATGTAATTAAGCCATACCACGTTCACTAAGATAAGCAAGACGCATATGCCACAGTTTGGTTGTTTCATCACATGACTCAACAGAATAAACTCCACCTACAACGGTACTCCCTAACAATTTGTAAATATTCCTTGCAGTCATCTTTCCTTTCATCACAGTCAAAGCTCCTTTAACAATCCGAATGGTTTCCCTATCCTCATCAGTCTTAGGGATAAAACCATTCTTGTGCAAAGTGTCCAAAGAAATCAAATTCTTTATCAAATCTGGGATATGTCGAACACCACTCAACGTCCAAACAAGCCATCATACATCTTAATTTTGACCTCACCAATACCAACAATATTGCAACATCGATTATCACCCAAATAAACAGAACCAGAATTAATCAACCTGTATGTCGAAAACCATTCTCTATTTGGCGTGATGTGATAAGAACATCCAGAATCAAGAATCCAAACATTCGTCAATTGAGTCATTGAAATAGAGAGCATATCACACTCACTGGAATCAGAATTTTCATTCTCGACCACATTCACAGACTTGGATGAGTATCACGCTTCTCATCAGCCTGCTTTTTCAACTTCGGACAGTCTCGCTTCATATGTCCTGCCTCCT